CGCGGTGCGAGGCCACCGGGCCCGACGCGGCGAAACGCGGAGAACCAGCGGAGCCCGAGTTCCCCGAATGCTGGCGCGGCTCCCTGAGGGGGTCCCGGGCATGTGCGGTCCCCCGGCCCCCCCGGCTCAGCCTCTTGGGCTCTGACACGCTCGGTCTGCCAGCGGGCAGGGCTCTCGCGATGGGGTCCTCCCGGCAGAGGGGACAGGAGCTGCTGACGGCCCCAGGACGCGGGTGTCCGCAGTGTGTTTAGGAAGCCGGTGGGCGGGATCGGTTGACAGTAGTAGGACATTGTCAGTCGCCTGGGCTTCACCACTCCCCCAAATTGCTCCCTAATTAGCAGTGCTAGTTTTCTTCTGATAATTCGGATGGGGATCCCATTTCTCAGCACGGTGCTGAGCTATTTAAGTGAACAAGCGGTCGCTTATCAAGAGTGCAAATGCTTTTATGACCTCTGAGCTGTTCCCCCATAACCCAAAGTGTCGTTTTCTTCGTTTCTCAAGGTCTCACCCAGCTCAAGTTAAGAGTGTTGAAGGAAATGAATGTAAAGGAAGCAAGCCGTTGGTAAACCACTACTTTCAAACGTATTTTGCTTTTGCTAAAGCTAGTGCTTAGGTCCCCATTGATGTTTATACGATGGTAGTGTCTCCCCACTCACTCCCACACCAGGTTTGTGTAGCCTTGGTTGCCCTGGAACGGATAGGTTGACTAGGCTGGCCTTGAACTCAGAGATACTCCTGCTTTTCTGCCTTTGAGTGCTGTGATTAAAGGTGTGCACTGCCGCCACCACCACCATCTGAACTAGTGTCTGTTTTACTCGTTAACTATAATTAGTGCATAAACTCTTGGTCATCTGAATTCTTTTTACATTGTTTTTAAAATATTTTTTAAGCTATGGACTTGAAACTATTTTTCAAGAAAAATTTTTGTTGGTGAATTTTATTTCTCTTAGGAAGATTTTGCGTTTTCCTCACATCACAACATGAAGTTGATATTTAAATCAGTCAGCAAATATGCAAAATGTTTAAGAACACATGTGCTGTTTGTGTGAAAGTACTACTTGTACTTAAAATATTGATGGTATGATTGGTATGGTTGGTATTCATGGTCAGCCGCCACCTGCATCTTTCAGTCATTTATTTGGCTCTTCTTTCTGCTTGGTAATTTTTGTTTTCTTTCTGAGATAGGATCTTCTTTTTAGGTTTTGATGTTTTGAGACAAGGTTTCTCTGTGTAGCCCTGGCTGTCCTGGAATTAGCTCTGTAGACCTGGCTGGCTGCTTTTCCAGAAGACCTGGAAGTTGTATTTCCAGTAAGGACATGGCAGTTTGCAACCTTCTGTAACTCCAGTTCCAAGGGATGTGATGCCCTCTTCTGGTCTCTGCAGGAACCAGGCACACACTTGTTTCATATACATACACGCAGGCAAAACAGTCATACACATAAAATAAATCTTTTTGTTTGTTCTTGAGACAGGGTCTTTCCACAGCCTTGGTTGTCTTGGAACTTGCTTTGTAGAACAAGCTTGCCTCAAACTCACAAGAGTTTCAACTGAGTGCTGGGATTATAGGCATGGACCACCACCGCCCTGCAAAATAAAATAAAATAAATCTAAAAAAAAAAAAAAAAAAAAAAAAAAGTTAGGGACCTCTGGGGGGGGGGCAAAACCTTTAACCGGAAGCAGAGGCAGGTGGATCTCTGTGAGTTCAAGGCCAGCCTGGTCTACAAAGTGAGTTCCAGGACAGCCAGGGCTGTTACATGGAGAAACCCTGTCTTGAAAACAAACAAAACAAAACAAAAAAAGTTCATGGTGGCCTCCAACCCATTATGTACCCGAGGATGACCTTGAACTCCTGATTTTCTTGCATTCCCTCCCCAAATGCTGCAACCTAAACTACCATGCCTGGCTGTTATGTGATTTTTTTCTTCTTCTTTTTTTTTCTTCTTTAAAAAGAAATAAATAAGATTTAAAAAAATTTATTTATTTTTATTTTATGTGCATTGGTATTTTGCCTGCATGTCTGTGTGAGGATGTTGGATCCCTGGATCAGGAGTTACAGAAAGTTGTGAGTTGCTTCGTGATTGCTGGGGAATTGAACCTTCTGGAAGAGCAGCCAGTGTTCTTAACTTCTGGAGCCAACTCTCTAGTCCATAAGATTTATTTTTCATTTGGGGGGTGGGGGGATATGCACATGGTGCCCTTGGAGCCAGAGGCACCAGGTCACCCTGGAACTGGAGTTACAGGCAGTTGTGAGCCACCAGATGTGGGTGATGGAGACTGAACTTGGGTCTTCTGCAAGAGCAGTATCTGCCTAACCACTGAGTCATTTCTTCAGCCTATACAGACAAATTTAGAATTTTTTCTTAGTAGTTAATCAGAAAATTGGAAGGGGGGTTAGTAAGGATTTTTTTTTTTTCCTGTTCTGGAAATAGTTTTACAGATTAATTTCCTTGTGCTGTCAGTCTCCAGTTTATTTCCTTCTTTTAAAGTACATTGGTGTTTTGCCTGCATGCATATCTATATGACAGTATCAAATCCACTGGAACTAGAGTTCTAGAGAGTAGTCAGTCAGCTGCCATGTGGGTGCTGGGAATGGAACTCAGTTCCTATAGAAGAGCAGCCAGTGTTCTTAACTGCACAGCCATGTCTCCAGCCCCTCTAGTATATTTTCTATCTCAGAAATGATGTTTATGTATTTATATTTGTGCATTTGTGTATATACCTCTATACTTAAGTGTATATATGTGCATACTCATGTGTACATTTGTATATTTAAGCTTGGGAGGGAAATCTTAGCTGATAACACATCTGAGGAAATTGGGCTAGAGAAAGCACATGACTGAGGTAATGCCAGTCATCAATCTTCCAGCTCAGGGCTGTTATCACCCCAGGTCATCTCTGTGCACCAGCTAAGGTGGGGACCAGCTTTCTTCACATGTAAACTAAAACTTTAGACAACTCTCACATCTTAACCATTGACAATCCCCCCTCTGCCAAGAAACATGGTTTACAATGAGGTGTGAACAGTCAACAGACCCAGAACAGTGTCTAGTAGAAAGGTAATGAATGCTACAGGACTCAGTGGTCTTTTAACAATGGCTCTTGTAAAATCCAAGCCTCGTGAGAAAGTTGCTATAACATCACAGCACCTTTTGCTTCAAATTCAAACAAAGACTATGGGAAAAAGCTTTAATAACAGACTCCATGTTATTTTATACGCAACCACTTAGCAGATTAATGAATCATTTAACTTTCTTTTTACTCAATATTCCACTCAGAAAGATAAATCCAAAAATGCAACCTCATACTGACCAACGTAACTAAGTACAAATAAAGTAAGTCACTGGTGTACCTCAGTAGCATGCTGCGGTGTATGTCAGTAAAACAAGCCCTCCCGCCCCAGCCCTGACCCCTGGCAAACAGATAAATGATTGTGCACTGCGTGATGATACCTTTAGGTGAGAACTTTGGTTCATGCAGTTGGCTGCCACAGACGTTGCACCCAAAACCCTCAGTCCTGGCACCCAAAGTCAGCGGTGGTAGCTGTCGGTGTCAGCCGTGCTCCTTCCACAAGACCAGGTGAATACTGTGGTCAGGCATGCTGGTGGCAAAGACTAAGCCTGTGTCATTGTGCCCATCCAGTCCATTTAGCCAGGACGCTTCGCCCGCCAGGAAGCTGGAGCCTCTCTTTGATTTCCTGTACTCTGGCAGAGGCCAGCGGCTAATCACGCTCTCTGTCCTCAAGTCCATGATGTACAGGTAGTGGTTGTCAAACAGCAGGGCAAAGACATCTCCAAAGCCAAGCAAAGCCAAGTTTGCTACCTCAGGTGTCTTGATGACCCTACAAGGAAGAGAGTTCCGGATCATGAAGCAGAAGACAACTTTGCTGTAGACACTTGTACTCCTAAGGAAATTTAGAGATAGTAAGTTTTTTTTTTGAGACAGGGTTTCTCTGTGGCTTTGGAGGCTGTCCTGGAACTAGCTCTTGTAGTCCAGGCTGGTCTCCAACTCACAGAGATCCACCTACCTCTGCCTCCCAAATGCTGGTACATCACCACCGCCCGGCCTAGTAAGAATTTTTGATAAAAAGGAAAAGGAAACGCAGTGGATGACTTTACTCCCAGGCAGAGGGAAGGGGATCTCTGAGCTTGAGACCAGCCTTGTCTACAGAGTGAGTTCTAGGACAGCCAAGGTTACAGAGAAACCCTGGCTTGGGAAAAAACAAAACAAAAAAAAACTTCTACCAGGATAATACTCCATGATATTAGTAAAATAGTCAAATTACAGAGAAACCCTGGCTTGGGAAAAACAAAACAAAAAAACTTCTACCAGGATAATACTCCATGATATTAGTAAAATAGTCAAAAACTGCTGGTCCTTGGTGTGAAAACTAGACCAGAACATGGACTAACCTGGACTGAAAATGGAAAAACAACTCCTGGAATATTCAAGAACTGATTTTATCTAGTCAAGCTAAACATTCCATCTGAAGTATTTATTTAGTATGCAGTATTCTGCCTGCGTATATCCCTGCAGGCCAGAAGAGAAGGGTGCCAGATCTCATTACAGATGTTTGTGAGCCACCATGTGGTTGCTGGGAATGGAACTCAGGACCTCTGGAAGAGCAGCAAGTGCTCTTAACTTCTAAGCCATCCCTCCAGCCCCTGGTATTTTTGTATATAATAAAAAATGAAAGAAAAGGTTTGTTCAGTGGTACTGGAAGTTAAGCCTAAAGTCTAAAGCTAGGCAGGTATCTACCACTGAAGACAGCCCTATAATTAGCTATTGCACATTGGTCTTCCCTCTTCCTGGTCAGTCATTCCCATGACTATGGTTTAATGTTTCTGCTGCTTCCCAGTATACATCCGTATACCTGATTCACAGGTAAGTGTTCAATAAATACCTCGTAACAAATAAAACAGTGGCACAAAGAACACAAACACAAAATTCCTCTAATAGACCAAAGGGGGTGGGGGGAGTTCATTTCCAATATTAAAATACAATGTTGCAGAATAGAATGCAGGGTTTGACAGGCATGCAGGGTCCTAATACTGACCACTTCAGAAGTGCAAATAGAAATCCCTACTGGCAGTTTGGGCCCTGGGTTGTTCAAGATCACTGCGACTCTCCAGCTAAAGTGCACAACATGCTGCCACTGGGCTTTTTTTCTAAGTTCAAAAGTAAAAAGATCCTGGGACCGGAGGCTACAGGATTCGTGCTAAGACTTCAAAAAATTTCCTTTGTTTTGGAGGTGGAAAAAGGCAGAGATAAAACTGTCTCCTTTTTAGATTTAAACCTAGCACTTCTACCAGCAAACGATCAATCAGGCTCCTTACTTAAATCTAGCAAGTCTAAACTCTAAAACATCAACAAACTTTCTTCTAGGACTCTAGAGACACCATTCTGGGTAGGAAGCACTAAAACAACAACAGGTGTGTGTAAGTCAGAGAACCACTTGTCAGTCTTCTATCCCCTTCTGGGTTCTGGGACTCAAAGTCAAGTGGTCCTTTGCTCACCCCGCTCTGATTCTTTGTTTTTGTTTTTTAGAGACAGGCATTCACATAGCTAACCTACAGATTCACTACACAGCTAAGGATTACTCTGAACTCCATATTCTCCTGCTTACACCTCTCAAGTTATGAGATTACAGTTTCAAAATTTCTTACTTTTGGTGGCCTTGGCTTCTCAATACATTAAGCTTATGCCTACTGGATAACACAGCCACGGCTGTATGAATGCTGGACTAGGAGGAGATGTGGAATATAGGGCCCTTACATTTTTAGGCTTTTATCCTTTTCTCAAAGCATGATCACTCTAGAAATGATTGACAGCTCTGAAACCTAGCTAATTATTCTATGACTCAGACAGACAAAAATGAGGCTGTAGCTGAGACCAGAGAGCCAAAGTGCATCAAAGTCATACTCATAGGGCTATAATCAGACCCCATATAAGCTGATCTTGAATGTATTTATGATAATAAAAACAATGACAGCAATGTTCAATTTTTTCTATTCTATTTTTATTCTATTCGTTGTTTCCTGAATTATGCTACAGAGCACTAACAGAATTATTAATAGGCGTATAGTACAAGAGACCAAACAAAGTCAGTCTTTCTTAATGAAGGACTTCTAAGTCATTATAACAAAGATTTGTCAGTTCCTATGCTAGCTCCTCACCACAAGCATTTCATTTATAAATGAGAAAACTGAGGCACAGAATTGAGACATTTAGACAAAGCCACACAGATCATCGGAGATAATACAGATCTTTGGCATGAGAGATGCCTAAATTCAAGTCTATCATAAAAGTAAATTCTCTAGTTTACCATACAGCACTCAAACATGCCAACATAACCTTCCAATTCCTGGAAAGGGATCTGCATTGGGGCACAAAACTGTCATTGAAACTCACATAAAATTTCTTTGGAAGTGAACTGTAGTTTAAATAGTCACTAGACAACAGAAGGCCACTTACTGCCTAGACTCCATTGGGAGTCAGGACCAAATAACAAAGGATAGGTTCAACTGACAATGAAGTCCAACTTAAGACAGTAGAGCTGAAGGAGATCAGAAAGGTCTTCTCATCTTGAAAGGGAAGAAAGGGCTCATGATTCCGAGTCAGAGAGTGATTAGAACCTTCATCTCTATGTTTAAGCATATGACACTTTCTCATGTGCTTCTAAAACATTTGCCTAAGTGTAGCATTTAACATATTCAACCCAGTTGACTGATGTAGTACTTCCCAAAAGAAGACACTGACTAGCACACCCAGATCTTCTCTTTGCACTGCTGAACTGTACAGACTTTTAAAGGCAGAGCACATGGCCCAAGGAAACATTACCTGAGAATATCATAACTGGCAAAGTCCCACTGGTACAGACCAAGCGCTGAACTACAGACAATGTATTTTCCATCAAAATGAAGTCTTGGCTGCAGGCAGATACTTCTATCCTCAGAAACGGACAAGGTCTTTAAACACTTACAGTTGATTTCTCTCCCAATTGGCCAAATCTACAAAATAAATAAATAGAGAAGATGATTGAGCATATTACTAAAGAAAAGCCAGCGCACTGAGCAGCACACCTTTAATTCACTCTGGAGGCAGAGGCAGGCGAATCTCTAAGGTCCAGGCCAGCCTGGTTTACAGAGCGAGTTCCAGGACAGCCAGGGAAACAGACAGACAGACAGACAGACAGACAGACAGACAGACACCCACACCCCCCCCCACACACACACGGCAAAAAAAGAAAGAAAAGTGTTTACATAACATGACTTGAAGAAAAAAAAGAGTGGCACCTGCTAACAGACACAAAGGAAATACAGGGTCAAGACTCCTGTTTTAGTCAAGAGTCACAGGTTTAAGTCCTGATTTTATGTGATCTTAGGTAAAATATTTAACCTCTCTGAATAGAGATAATGCCGACCACAAAGGTTTAAAGATGCAATAAAAATGGGGTGTCTGCCAGGCCGTGGTGATGCAAACCTTTACTACCAGCACTCAGAGGCAGACAGGTCTCTGAGTTGGAGGCCAGCCTGGTCTATAGGTCTATAGAGAGAGCTCCAGGACAGCCAGAACTATACAGAGAAACCCTGTCTTAAAAAAATTCTTGGCAATTGTTAAAACAAATGTTTCTTTTTATAGTTTAGATCTAAGAACTGAGGAAGGTAGGCAGTATGAGCCTTAAGAGTCTTAGTGCTCAGGATGCTGAATCAGGAGGATTGCAAGTTTAGGGTCAATCTGGGCTACATGGCTGAGCCCTCTCAAGATACAAAAATCAAACAAAAGACAATGTGTGGAAAATCATTTTCAGTATTTTCTCCTCTGTGTGTGCTCAGGCATGAGTTCATGTGGGAGTCAGATGCTGATGTTGCTATCATCCTCAATTACTCTCCACTCTGTTTCTGAGATGCAGTCGAGAGAAAGCAACTGCAGCTTATCAATTTGACTACGTTAGCTGGGCAGCAAGTCCCAGGGATCCTTTTGTTTTGTTTTGTTTTGTTTTGCAAGAAACGGTTTCTTTGCGTACCCATCTCTGTCCTGGCACTTGCTGTGTAGATGAGGCTGGCCTTGAACTTAATAGTGATCCACCTGTCCTTGTCTCCAGGTGCTGGGATTAAAGGCATATACCACTATCACCTGGCTAAAATGTATATGTGTATCTACACACCTATATGTGTGTATTGATTTATTTACTTACTTATTTTTCTTTTTATGATTTATTATATATGCAGTGTTCTGTCTGCATATGTGCCTGAAGGCCAGAAGAGGGCACCAGATCTCACTACAGATGGTTCTGAGCCTCCATGTGGTTGCTGGGAATTAAACTCAGTACCTCTGAAAAGCAGCCAGTGCTCTTAACCTCTGAGTGATCTCTCCAGCCCATATTTATTTTTCAATGCAGAGATCTTATCTCTGCCGCCTCACACTGGGATTATATTCCTGGCCTTTAATAGGTGTTAGAGATCTAAACCGAAGTACTGACTTTCACCAGCCTCCTGGATTTCTTTGGTTTAAAATTCACAAAACCTGCCTGGCATTTGAGAGATGAATCATGCCATTTCCAATGGGTATAATGACTTAAACTAAGATCTCTCCCTGGCAGTTAGCTCCCTTTGCCATATACATTTTTAGTTTTCCTTCTATGCTATTTTTTTCCCTTTGATGAGATAAATTATGGAGGGAGAAAACTTACCTTGATCTCATATTTATCGGCACTTAAGAGGATGTAGTCTCCAGGGCTGTGCAAGAGAGACTTGACTTTGCACTTCTGCAAAACCACCTACAAGCATAAGCATCTAAATTATACAAAGAACTTACCACTCCTGTTCTTATTGTAGTTTTATATTGTTCTTAAATTAAAATATGAAAATGAGCTTGAATTAATATGATGGAACATGTAATGTGGAATTCTATTATTAGGTTAATTCTTAATATTTTTACCACAACTAGATTCTGTTAACTAACGGTATCTCAATGTCCAGTGCTGGGAGCATTCACTCTCTTATTTTTACTTTGTAAGTGCTAACATCAGGACTAATTTTTAAAATTGTAAAGTACACACTTGGGATATGGCTCAGTAGTGAAATACTTGCCTACTATACACAAAGCTCTAATTTGATCCTCATTACTGCATCCTCTTTATTATTATTGCTGTTATTACACACACACACACACACACACACACACACACACACACACACACACACTCACAAAAATGAGAAACGGCTACCTAAAAAGACCCAGTTCTTAAAAATAAACAAACAAGGAACATACACTGTGCACACAGATGTGGGTAAACATGGTCTGTTTTCATGAGCATGTGAACCACACAAAGAAAAAGCACCAGACTCAGAATAAGGACCTGCATCTGTCAGAGAGACCTGCTAACTGCAGCCATGGAGAAGACTGTGTAGCAGGTATGCTGTTCCATAGTGCTGGACACTGAACCCAGAGCCTCCCATGTGCTAAGTTAGCACCCTACCACTGCACTACACCCCAGACTTACTGTTTCTGTTTACTACTCGCTTGTTAAGACAGGAGGTAAATTACCTTACTTCATATAAGGTAATGAAGTGAAGATGAAATAGAATCAAATAATAGTAACAGGAAAAGGCAAAATTCCATAGCACTTGGGGTCATCTGTTATTATTAGGTCCTAGTAATCTCAGAAGCCTGAGATATAGAAGTAGCTAAACCCAGCAGACCTGCTAGCACCCGTCAGGCACCTCTGCTTGATACTGCCCCAACACTTTATTTAATGTGTACAAGGATTTAGCTGACGACAGAGTTATTAAGGTCATGAAGGGAGGAGGACTTGTCTACATCACAGGCATAATCCTGAGCCCACACCAACTAGGGCTGCCAGAGATATATTAACTTATCTGTTCCAACAAGTGAATGTGCCCAGCAGTTACCTATCTTCTCGTAAACTGCCCTATCTTTACTTTTACTAATCTAAAATTCAGAGAAAATTTTAGATTGCCCACCCAATCTAAAACCTGGCAGGCATTTCTGAGTCTATCTTCTTTTCTAACCTACAATGAGTAAATTTAGGTGACTTTATATTAAAGATAGATCCTTCATGCATTGCCATATAAACCCGAGCCACTGCATCTTTTGCTTCGGCTAAACCTAACTAGGCATCTTGTAGCCATGTGTATATATCTCCAAATCTATTGTCTCCTAACACATTCAAACTGTGTTTCTCATATATAAATCACAGCAGACCTTAAATCATAACTGCCAATAGTTTTCCCAATACACTTCTAGTATTTATCAACCTTACTATGGCCCAACTAACTCTGCGGCCAGCTCTCACATTTACAGGATGGATGCACTGGCCTTCTTTTTCTTTTTTCTTTCTTTCTTTCTTTCTTTTTTTTTTTAAGATTTATTTATTATTATGTATACAGTATTCTGCCTGCATATATGCCTATACACCAGAAGAGGGCACCAGGTCTCATTACAGATGGCTGTGAGCCGCCATGTGGTTGCTGGGAATTGAACCCAGGACCTCTGGAAGAGCTCTTAACCTATGAGCCATCTCTCCAGCCCCTGCACTGGCCTTCTTTAGGTGCTTTCCTGTCCCTGAGCACATGCAAATATAAACTACACTCTCTGAAATGTTCTAGCTGCTCTTTCCACAGCTATTTGTTTGGCTCTTCTCAAAAAGCTTTTCCTAATTACTTCCTAGACTCTCTCATACCATACTATACTTCACAGTACTAATCTGCAATTAAACAACATTTATTTGTGAAATTAATACATAGTAACCATTTCTATTAGATTAAAACCCATCAGATCAGGCCAAGGTCTATTTTATTTACTCCTACATCCCCAGCCTCTTAGAAAGAGCATTAATAAACTCAAGAATTGTGTGTCTTGCCAAGCAGTGGAAGCAAACGCTTGGGAGGCAGAGGCAGGCGGATCTCTGTGAGTTGAGGCCAGCCTGGTCTACAGAGTGAGTTCAAGAACAGCCAGGGCTGTTACACAGAGAAACCCTGTCTGAAAAAAACAAACAAAAAAAATATGCCTGCACAACATACCTATCACTATGCTGCATTTGAAACACACTTTATTTTGAAAATAAGAAAACACACTTTATTTTGAAAATAATAAAGACTCATTTTTCTTCTTTGCTTTCTTTATATTTTTGTCATGATGGTACTTGACCTACCACTGAGCTATACCCAGCCCCTCCTTATCTCATATTTTGCAAACACTACACTTTTTTGTTGGTGGTGATGCTGGTTTTGTTTAGTCATTGCTCTTTTTGGGGGTATGGGGGAAGTGGCTATCTGTAGTCTTGAGGATCAAACCCAGAGCCTCATGCTAGACAAGCACTCTACCACTGAACTAAGTTTGCAACACTTGCCTTTCAGATTTTTTTTTTCTTTTGATACTGGGCTTCTCTGTGTATCCCAGGCTGTTCTGGAACTTGCTCTGTAGATCAGGCTAGCTTTGAACTCAGAGATCCTCCTGCCTTTGCCTCTCAAGTGCTGGGATTAAAGATGTGTGCTACTACTACCCTTACTTAACTTTTCAAAATGAAAATTACAGTTCCAGCTGGGTGGTGGTGTCAAGCGCCTTTAATGTCAACACTCAGGAGGCAGGCACATCTCTGTGAGTTCGAGACCAGCCTGATCTACAAGAGCTAGTTCCAGGATAGCCTCCAAAACCACAGAGAAACCCTGCCTCAAAAAACCAAAAACCAAACAAACAAAAAATACAGTTCTGGAAAAAAAAAAAAAAAAAAAAAAAAAACAAACAAACAAAAAATACAGTTCTGGAAAAAAAAAAAAAAAAAAAAAAAAAAAAAAAAAAAAAAAATGTTGGGAAAAAAAAAAAAAAAAAAAAAAAAAAAAAAAAAAAAAAAAAGTTCTGAATAAGAGGTATCTTTATGTAGCCTAAACTGGCTGGCCTTGTACTCATGGTATTTCTGCCTCAGCCTTTTAAGTGCTGGGATTATGACACGTAGACTACACCCAGATAATCTATTGGATTATCTAAGTGGCTTTTACATGTTGGTCACTATGGCACACCACCACGTTCTGTGAGTACATTTATTCTCCTGTGATTCATCTACAATATACACAAGGCCTACCATCTTCCATTCCCCACCAGTGAGGAGCCAGACACCAAGGACATTCCCTGGTCTTCCTACCTTGGTGACCCATTCAGTATGCCCAGTGAGTGTGTTCAGGCATGTCCCAGCAGATAAAGCCCATACTTTCACAGCGAAGTCCGCAGAGCCACTCACCAAAATATCCAGTTCATCACTGTAGTCCACACTGAACACTAGTGCACACAACACAGTCAAAGTTAAAACACTTCACTGTCAACAGATGTTTGTAAAAAAAAAAAAAATTATAATAATAATAAAATAATAATAACATTTATTCTACTAGCTGTCTAAATACATAACTTCCTAACCAGAGCACATTAAGAATTGAGCTATTCAACCAGCAATTTTATGATACAAAGAAATCTATTTCACAACTGTTGTTAAAGTTTTTCCTAAGGTTGAGAAAGCCTTAAGATTAATATGCTCTCTTCTACTTGTGTCAGCTTCACATGATGGAAATGATGCAATCTAGTTTCTGGGAGAACACCAGCAAAGGTGGCCCTTTTAAAATCTGCAGTGTGAAGAAAATAAGCTGCAGAACACTCAAGCCCCAGAAAGACCAGGACAGACAACAACAAGGATCTCAGAGGTTGGACTCAATCAACAGTGTCTAAATTTCTTCAAATCCTATACCCAGTAACTGCATTAGTTTAGGGCGCGCAGTAAACATTCACTATTTGTTTCTAAATGTCTGTCAAACTCAAAAGGACACTGGGAACCTAGAGATGATGCTGACCTTCCTTCAAGAAACTGAGGGACAAGTTGGTTTTCTGTTTTTTGTTTTTTTTAAAGGTTACCTCTTTGCTAGAGCAACACTGAAGATAACTACTCTGACAGGGTCATCAGAGAGAACTTTAGAGAAGATGAACTATTGGAGACGGGACAAGAAGAATGCATACAGCTTAATAAGAACATAAACAACACTCCAGGCAGAGGGTACAGGAAAGGCATGGATTAAAAGCCACAGCAGTGTCAAGAAACAGCAGTGTCAAGAAACATTTTTAGAGCAAGACCTTTAAAACTGGTAAGGAATGACATCACCTAGAAGCTGTGGTATCCTTATGCCATGAAGTATTACTCTGTTTAATGGACTGGGTCCCTACTAAACCGTAGACTTTGTTTGTTTTTGAGACAGGATTTCTTTGTGTAACCCTGGCTGTCCTAGAACTCACTTTGTAGACCAGGCTGGAACTCACAGAGATCCGCCTGCCTCTGCCTCCCAAGTGCTGGGATTAAAGGCGTGTGCCACCACGACCAGCTATAAGCCATAGACTTCTAAAACAAATGGGGGCAGATTAGAAAAATTGTAAATATATAAGGATAGTTGGGGGGGCGGTTAGTAGCAGAAGAGCTAGATTTAAAGAAATACTAAGCACCAGGTACAACGTAAGGAACTCAGTATAAGAGTAAACAAGATAGTCAGAATCCCTGACCTATGGAGCTTAGGATCAGGAGGTAAAATAGTCACCATGATTATGTGCATGACAGTCTAGTCTGCTCATAAATATGACATTCTAAAACAGAAATACCCTTCATGTTAGCCCCAGGATGTTGCTTGTTTTACTTACTTAGCAGCCAAGTACTATTCTGTGTAGATACAATCCGTGAACTACCTTCTGCCCAAGGGTTTTCAGCTCTAAATAAGTAAACGGAGTGGTCTGAATGTCTAAGTGTGACAGAACGGAATCCACTAAAAGCAAAAGTGACTGACTGTGCAGAAAGAGAAACTGGGAGAAGGACAGCTACTCCTTCCAGTATACAGGTACATAAAAGAGTGTTTTAAAGGCTAAGGAAAAGCAAAATTGTGGAAAACATTCCAAATACTGAAATGCAGGGAAATAGCTGCAGCAGTTGAGAAAGAAGAGAAAATCACAGGTTAAAGCAAGCAATAAAAAAACAAAAAAGTATTTGACTCCTGATTTTAAAAGGCATTGCTAAAGTAATTGTAAAGACCCTCAAAAAAGAAGAACCCACCCGCCCCCGTGTGCCCCCGGAAATGCTGTGTCCTGGCTCCAGAACTCCATTCCCAGCAGGCCACGGTGTTGTCAAAGGAGCCTGTCACAAGCTTCTGTTCATCGAACTTCACAGCTGCACAAGTGTGGGTCTGGATGCCGTAAACACACTGCCCTGTGCTTACATCCCACAGCTTTGCAGACAAGTCGTCTGACCCTTGAAGAGAAAAACCAGGAAGGTTAGTGTGACCTAGACACCCTTGAGGAGGAGAATCAGTCCCCTTAAAGAGGCTCTCCATAGTCCCCTCTGGAGTGCTTCTGCTCTAAGGCTAAGAAACCCAAAGCACAGACAATGTGATTTGTTGGGCCTCAAAATGGCTTTAAATATACTAAGACAGAACCCATGCCTCTTGTCTTTGCCCCTTCATCTTCTGGGTGATAAAAAGATATTAGATTAAAGCAGCTCTTCATGCTTCTACTTGCAACATTTCCTATCTCTGGCTATTAGAGCTTTCAGGTTTGACTGGGTTCATCTTACCCTTGGCTGCATGTTTACACTGACATGCTTATCTACTCACTACCCAACAATCCTGAATAAATAAGGGCTGTTGACTTGGAAACCACAGTCCATTCTAAGACAGGATAAAGATAAGCCTCAGGTCACTGGGTAACTGTCACAAAAGTCAACTGGTAATTTCTTGAGCCATCTTGAAAGATGCCAAGGACCCTCAGTGAATACTAGGGATAAATCACCTGCAAATATCCCTATCAACTCACCAAGCGCTTAGGTTTGTAGGAAAAAAAGTTGGTTTTATTTCTGTCTGTAGGAAGTGGAGGAAGCCCTGAGTGTGTAAACTTCTGAATGAATATGTATTTTGACATGAGTAAGGTCTGTCGATGACTCCAAGAGCAATTGGCCAATGGTAAATTGGCAAAACTGTTACACAGGCTAAAAGGGATGGCAAAGGTGTCCTTATGAATATGTTTACAAATGACTGACCAATGTGTACAGAGACTGAGAACTACAGCTTCCACCTCCTGGCTATTTACAATTAGAGACTGGCTACCTAAGATATCTCTCAGTGAGACCAAGGAACCCTCCCACTGAGCTGTAACTAATAAACACACTGAGGTTCTGGGTTACTGTGGTTAGAGAACCCCATTTGATCCCAGCTTCACTGTATGCATGTCTGTTCTTTCTTCAGGGTTCCCAGTCCCAAGTCACATGGGACACAGCATGGCCTCTGATAAAAAGGTTATACGAATCATGGTGATAATTCAGGACTGAATTTTCATTAAGTTTGAAATCCCAATTATTAAAATTTTGTCTCAAAACTTACTTTTAGAGGACCAACAAATGACATTTTGAGAAATACTAAATACAGTTACTCTGACCAGGACATTGTATTCTTGGAAAGCACCAACAAGTTGGTTTTCAAAGGCTGAAATGGAAGAAATGAGCATACAAAGACAAACTCACAAACAGAAGGCTAAAGCATTCTAGTTTAGAGTTGCAGAACTAACCTCAGTAATCTTTAAAAGGTTGCTAGGCAATTTTCCATCTTCAATAACACTCTTAAGAAGCAGAGGTCGGCAACAGTGTGCCAGACAGAAACCACATAGAATTTGTCTTCTAACAGTAAACATGAAAACAGTGTATTTTATTTAACTCATTTTGTCAAAAATGCTAATATTTCAAAATGTAACAGATAAAGTATCAAAAGGACACTCTTTGTTCTTTTATGTTCCAAGTCTTTTAATTCTGGTGTTTCCCATTTCACACTTCCATCTGGACCAGCTATAGCTCAAAAACCCAACAGGGCTCGTGGCTCTTCTGCAGCACAGCAGACCACAGAATGATTAAAATCCTTCTGATCCACTGCCAGTGCTTAACTGGTGTTTCATTCAGTTAACATCTGTATGTAGGACACCTACGTCAGGCAAGGACTTCCTGCTCTCATGGTCGTCCTTAGTCAGACAAAGGTAAATAAGCAATGTCATTCACACAGTCAGTGGTAGGAAAGAGCCCCTCAGCAAATATGAGGGCATAAAAGCGAGAGGTCCCCTCAGATTATAGCTGTGCTCCATAGTGTGTGTCCTCCAACACACCTCAAGCTTGAGCACAACTGGCTCTTCAACTATACACCAGTTCTACTTTTAAGCCAAGGTTCGGCATGTTTGAGGAAAAGATTTCATTAACTGGAATGGTAAGGATGGAAGCTGGCGAGATGACTCAGCAGGAGATGCTTGCTGCATAAGGCTAGTAACCTGAGTGCAATCCCTAGAGTCATGTAGAAGTGAGAGGAGCACAGTTTCCCCACAAAATTTAACTACCTTTTCTCCCTTTGGTGGGGGTGGAGCTGGGGCATCAAATTAGAACTGTGCTCACACAAAGCAAGTATTCTGCTGAGCTATACACTCAGTCACTCTGCCTCTTACTGGAGCTGTTACAGCTCTCATTTTTCTCCAGAGATTACCACAGAGCTACTACCCACAGGCTGAACATGACCTAGCCATGGTATTTGAAAATCTAGATAAATACCGAAAAATAACAAACACATTTCACAAAAATGTAGACTTGAGGCTTCTCTCTTGCACAGTCAGATCTAGCTAGCCAGTGATCCTATGGGGTAATGATGCACTGCAATAGAGCAGAAGCTGATCTGTGGAAAGGCAGAGTTCTCAGGGGATTGTCACCTACGTTAAGTCACCCTCCTGATAGAGCGTGTGTACCCTGGGAGCAAAGAACTGCCTTGCTTCTCCCACATGGCTCCCACATGGTTTTCTAATGGCAGACATTTCATAAATATGTAACTACTGATGTCACAAAGTAAACTAGGTTTCTCTCTCATCATTTCAGAAATAAACTGCAGAATGGAGGGAGGATTACCTCCCTGAAGACCAGGCCAATTGTTAGTACTGGTCTTTACTCTCTTTGTTATACTATCTCACTGACAAATTCAGGATTCCACAATTCACAACTGAAAATTGGAATTCTTAAGAAACAAATGAGAGGTGGGACAGAACTCAGTGGTTAAGAATGCATAGTCTTCTAGAAAAATGACTTTCCCAAAACCCATACTGGGCAGTTCACAACTCTGGCTATAGGAGATCTGATATCCATTTCTGGTCTCCCCGGTTCTCTCTGCATGTCTCTGTATCCCCCCCCCCCCCGCCCCCCACAAATAAACATAATTTTTCTTCTTCTTCTTTTTTTTTGGTCTGACTTGGTATATCAAACAAGTCCATTTTTATTTTATTTTATTTTTTTGCAAGACAGGGTTTCTCTGAGTATCCTTGGCTGTCTTGGAACTTGCTCTGTAGATCACACTCAGAAATCTGCCTGTCTCTGCCTCCTGAGTGCTGATATTACATGTGTGTGCCACCGCTGCCTGGCCAAAAATTCTTAAAAAGAAACACATATATAATTCTCTAACATTTCTTTTACCTGGGAAGTCTCAAGCATGATGCCACTAGAAATTTCAAACTAACAAAAATCATGACATAATTTCCAAATGCAAACCAGGTAAATTACATAAAAATAATATATAACTACTTAGAAACTAACCTCTCAGAAATTATTTATTATGTAGTGTTCTGCCTGCGTGTATGCCTGCAGGCCAGAAGAGGGCACCAGATCTCATTATAGATGGTTTTGAACCACCATGTGGTTGCTGGTTGTGGCTAAACTCAGGAGCTCTGGAAGAGCAGCTGGTGCTCTTAACCTCTGAGCCATCTCTAGAAACTTAAAATGCAGGGTTTGGGGGCTGAATATGGCTTAGTGGTGGAGTGCATGCCTAGCATGCACAGGCCCCAGATTTCTTCTTTTTTTTTTTTTTAAAGATTTTATTTATTATGCATACACTGTTCTGCTTGCTTGCCAGAAGAGGATGCCAGATATCTTTACAGATATCTGTAATGTTGTGACTACCATGTGGACTGAAAACACACACACACACACACACACACACACACACACACACACACACACACACACTTTTTAAAGCTAGAGTCAAGGCTTGAGATGGCTCATCAGTTAAGAGCACTGGCTGCTCTTGCAGAGGATATGGGATCTATTCCCAGCACCCACATGGCTTTGAAAAAAGTAAGTAGGCCAGGTTTGGTGGCATAATCCTTTAATCCCAGCACTCAGGTAGCAGAGGCAGACAGATTTCTGAGTTCAAGTTCAGCCTGGTCTACAGAGTGAGTTCCAGGACGGTCACTGTTACTCAGAGAGATCATGTCTCAAAACAAACAAAAACAAAAAAACAAAAACAAAAAAGGTGACCATGAAGATAACCAGCCCACTGCCAATATTTAAGTAAGGAGTGCCAAATCAATACCATATCTTAATCTTAAAAAAAAAAAAA